CAACACCATTCCTTTTCGTCTTTCCCGGCACAGTAACCCATGTGGTTGTCAAAATGGCCAATATCAGTCCATTTCAGCTCACTAATGCCTAAGATATCGATGTTGATGCATTCCATTTCATTTTTGACAACTTCCAATTTTCCCAGATTTACTTCATACATTCCATGTTCCGATTTTCAATGGATTCTTACAGATGTTTCTCTTCATTTTGAGTTGTGCCCCATAAGCAAATGAAGGTCCTGTGGTCTTTTCTCCCACGAGCTTAACTAACTCTATTCACGTCTTCATGGTCAACTCTACTTTGAGGAGGCAGTCCTTCCCTGGTTGCATTTTGAGTGCCTTCCTAACCTGGATGGCTCATTTTCCGGCACTATATCTGACAGTGTTTCTCTGCTATTCATAAGGTTTTCAGTGACTAGCAATTCGGAAGTAGTTTGTCACTCTTTCTTCCTAGTCTGTCTTTGTCTAGAAGCTCATCTGAAACTTGTCCACCATGGGTGACCCTGCTGGTATTTAAAATATCGGTGGTATAGCTTTCAGAATCACAGCAACTCACAAGCCACCACAGTATGACAGACAGATGAGCGGTGGCCATTTGGTTTTATGTCGAAACTGTCACTTTACAGACATGTAGATTTACAGCCCCAGAAACACTATGTTGTTGTTAAGTGCCATCGAGTAAGTTCCAATTTACCGTAACCCTGAATAGGGTTTCCAAGGAGTGTCTGCTGGTCTGAACTTCTGATCTTAGGGGTAGCAGTGCAGTGCTTATCCTATGGTATCACCCAGGACACAGGACCCCCAGAAGCCCTAGGGTCATTAAATGGAATCGACTTAATGGTAATGGGTCATTTTTATTTTTAAGAATCAAATGACAGATTATACATACCAAAATCTATGGAAATATTTTATGAATTCAGTATTTAACTGGACTCTGAATCAATGAGTAGGTTTGATACATATTCTAATTTTTTCACTATCTAGATCATAACCATCCATCTTTTTTTTTTTTTTTTTAATTATTTACTGTGACTGATTTCATATCTTTAACCTCAAATGAAAGCGTAGTCTCACCCAGGATTAGACTCCAACTAAATGCATCTCTCCACTGCCTGCACAGCATGTATTTTATTCTAAGGCATCACAGAGCAACGAAGTTGATAGTGGGTCAGTTCTAGTGGTCTCTGCTGCCATTCTTCCTGCCCTGCTTGTCCACTCAGCTTTCTTTAGAGGAACTGAAGAGGGGCAAGGGATGATCCCTCTCAGTTGGCACCTTTCTATATCCATCCCTATGGAATTCAATAAAACTGTCACAGGATATTCAGAGCATTGTAAACATTTTGTTTGATACTGTCCAGTCAGTTTCCCCCATAGTGATCCCATGTGACAGAGTAGGACTCTTCCATAGGGTTTTCTTGGCTAAAATCTTTATGGAAACAGATCACTAGCTCTTTCTCCCATAGAGCCACTTGACGTTAGCAGACACCACCAGGTCGACTTCTAAAAGCTTCTGTTGTTTTTATCAGTGGATTGGTTCCAAATCCTACTGACCCTGCATAGGGTTTCCAATACTGTAAATCTTTATGGGAGCAGAAAGTCTCATCTTTCTCCTGTGGAAGAGCTGGTGGATTTGAACTGCTGACCTTGAGGTTAGCAGCCCCACACAGAACCCAGTCTGCCACCAGAACTCTTTCTAAACATTTTACTGACACTGAATTATAGCCACCACTTGCTATACAGGTTGCCTCTGTGACATCTGCAAATACACGTTGTCTCCTTCTAAAGATCCACAGGACCTAGAAGCTTGTGCACTCAATCTAACTCTTGAATACTTAGAGAATTTTACATTAGAGCCAGCAGGGTCTGATAAATGCTCCTCTCCAAACACCATCATAGGAGACACCTATGGGGAGAAAGCACCTGTTCAGGGCTACAGAACTTGATAGAGCCTCCAATCATCATTCCAAACATTTCCCTCTCATCTTACATATCTTATATATCACGTCTTCATCCAGCATCATAAGAGCTACAAACTCCTTATTATTTGCATACCCTCCTGTACCTAGTACAGTGCCCAGAATACTTAACTCAGCAGACCAGGAACGGACAAAGGAAGAGAAAATCCAGAGGCACTCAAGTCAAAATCCAGAAGGCAAGGCAAGGCAGGAGATTGCTGTTGTTAAGTGCCGTAGAGTCAGTTCCAACCCATAGTGAACCTGTACAGGGTTTCTGAGGAGGAGCTGGTGGGTCTGAACCACTGACTGTGATGTTCGAGCTGACCCTGCAGTCCAGCACACTGTCCTGCAATGCCACACCAGGATTCACATGGCGGGGAATAAAACAAGCAAATAAATGCACTTGATTTTAAGTGGTGACAAACGCTATTAAGGAAAAAACACAGAGTGAAGCCAAGATGATGCAAACCATTAACATACTTGACTGCTGTATGAATCGCACCCAGAGGCACCTGGACAACAGAAAGAAAGGCCTGTTGATCTAGCCATTAAACACCCAGCGACACGGGGCACACTTCTATTCTAATACACATGGAGTTGTCATGAGTCTAAATTGGAATCAAAACAACTGGTTTCATTAATGTAACAAAGATGGGCATATGAGGAGGGCAATAATGTTGTAATATTTAAGCTGAGACTCAGATGAATTTGCTCTATGGATGGCCTGCTGGGACTTTCAGAAACTTGTTGTTAAGTACCTTCAAATCATAGCGACCCTCTATAGGGTTCTCGAGGAGCGGCTGAATTTGAGCCGCCGATTTTGCGGTTCAAACCACCCTTATGGTCCAGCTTTATCCCACAGCACCACACTAGGACTTGGGTAGTTTACTCAAGCTATAAGAGCTTCAGCTTTCTCATTTAGAGTATGGGGATGACATCTCAAGTATTTGGTGGTTGTTGTTAAGTGCCATGTAGTCGGTTCCGATCCATAAACTTGAACCGCTGACCTTGTGCTCAAGCTGATTTTGCAGTCCAGCGCATTAACCTTGATGTTGTTGTTATGTGTCGTGGAGTCAGTTCCGACTCAAAGAGACCCTGTACAGGGTTTCCGAGGCTGTAAATCTTTACAGGAGCAGAATGTCTCAACTTTCTCCCATGGAACAGCTGGTAGTTTCCAACTACTGACCCTGAAGTTAGCAGCCCGATTCGTAACCACCACATTACCAGAGCTCCTTATTGACCCTGATAAGGCTGAAGAATGTACAAGTAAATGGGCCTGCCTCACGGGGCAGGTCTGTGGTTATCATTAAGGGAAAGCCAGGAACTCAAGAAACATGGAAAAAGATTGAAGAGGAAAAAAGCATGGAAACGCAAGGTCGTTTAATTACCACAGTTCCTAGAATCTAATTACTGGGCTATCTCTTCCTTATCAGATTGAGAGTTCAAGAGCAGGAGCCGGGAGTTTCCTCTCTGACCTCCAGCCCAGCTCCACGCTAGGCGGAGAAGCCAACAATTACGGGGCTCTAGGCTCGTGGGGGGTCGGGGACCATCTGGTCACCTAGCAGCTCCCGCGCAGGGCGCGTGGAGGCCGCTCCCCGCGGCAGCCATCTTGGTATCCTCCCCGCGACGAGTTTCGCCACGCCACCACCGGGGACAGCCCGGCAGAACGCACGAGGCCGTGGCTAACCCAAGCCCCTCGGGGGAGACCGCGCTGCGCCACAGGGCGTAGACGGTGCGGGTCCTCAAGGTGTTGGCGGTGGGCATCTGTCAGCAGCGGGATGGCAGGGGTTTCCAAGGTGCAAGGACCCCGGGTCCGGCGCGCACCCGACACCGGTGGAGGGAGCAGCCCGGGGAATCTCCAGCAGGAGGCCCGGGAGCGTGCGTCCCCCGGCCAAGCCTGCGCGCCCGTACCTCCGCGAGGCTCCTGGCGCGTTCTCCACCCGGCCCCCGGCCGTCCACCCACCACTCACCGCTCCCCTGGCTCGCCGCCCGCGCAGCTCGCAGGTCCAGCTCCGTACCGCCTCCACTGTCACCGGAAACGCTTCTCCCGCCACAGCAGACTCGCGCGTCCCCGTGAGTCCGGCGTGCACGCGCCACGGGCAGGGAACTCGGAGCCCGGTCTGGGCTCCGCCTGCAGCCGCGCGCGAGATGCCTCGGACCCGCCTCCAGGTCTCAGCACGTCAGCCAGTCTCTTCTCTGTTTCCTGGCCCATCCCCTGGGGCCCAAGCTGTAGTTACAGACTCCCTACCTGGTCCTGGTCTCCAACCTTAATTCCCAAGTTCATCCTCATAGTCCTGTGGAATTCTGTTCAGTCGCATGTCACTGGTTTCAGTCTTGCCTGGAGTCAGCATTCATTCATTCTTTATTCACTAAAACCAGTGTTTCCCAAAGTGTGGGACTCAACACCACCAATGTTGCAAGATGATTTTAGGGGCAAGTGCCTCTCTCTGATGCATGTCTTAAAAAGACCCACTCTAGCTGCCAGGTGGAGAATAAATAGTAGGGAAGAGATGATGAGGCCACTGTGGTTAAGCAGACGAGAGATGACGGTGGCTTAGACCTGGTTGGCAACCTGGAGGTAGTAAGAAGTGTTGATTCTGGGAATGTTTTGAATCTAATCTAATAAATGGTATATCATGAGCGTGTATAGGAAGATTCCATTGTAAAATATGTCAATCCTTTTCAAACTAACCTATAAATTGTTGTT